GAGTAGCTGTTGTTGTTGTCCCTGCTGTGATTTCTTGAATGGCTTGAGTGTTGTTCATTCCCAGCACTTCTTCTCGAGTCCCGCTCCCTGTGTTCACATCTGCCCTCTCCCGAAGAACGAAGTCTCTCTGCTGTGAGATTATTCTTTGGGTACGGCCCCGGCTCAGAAATAGTTGAATAATACTCATAGTATGGATATATCAGGACCTAGCCCTATTCTAGACTCTTACTGTAGAGGGGCAGTACCTAAAGTGTTTTCGTCCCGCTGTGCCGATCCAGGAGGAGCCAGTTTCGGAGAAGGACCTCCTGGGTCTCAGGGTGGGGAGGCTTCGGGTTTCGGACTTGGATTCAGGATTTGTCTGGGGCCTTAGCTTTTCGGGGTTACTTCCGGGGCTCTGCCCAGATCCGTGGAAAGCATACCCAGCTGCTTGCTGTGGCAGTCTTCCAGTTGACCCGGAACGTCAAGCTACGATAGGGGCCTAAGCAATTACTAATACTATTTTGGGGGGTTCCTGAATATCAGTATAGGTGAACATACCCCAAAACCCTATTCTAATTATTAAGGCCCCTATAGTATCCCCCTCAGGCCAAGATGGTTCCCAACGCCCCAGAGCAGCGCAGCGTCGTGATGGACGAGGCTCGCTGCAGTCTTCCTGTGGATGTGCGTAGTAAGGTTCAAAACCCTTTAGCCCCACACCCACAGAGATTGCCTCAGCGTAGTGCCTTTAGACCATATGCACCTTGGAGTGGGCCAGCATGTATGGACTGTGCTGCGGCAACTGTTGGTTGTGCAGAAGTGACACAACAGAGGAGCGACTTGCGGTAGGAAATTAATCATTCGTCGCAATTTGCCCATGTTCATTAAAGAGACCAGGTGCGTGGAGAAGCAAAGCAAAGCTTCTTGGGTTTAGGGTTTCCGGGTTTAGGGTTGCGGGTTTGGGGGGGGGGGGGTATGTGCAGGGTGCTTCGAATTAAGGTTTCGTCTGAGCTGCCCAATCAGTCGTCTTGAGAGGAGCTCGTTAGTCGGAGAGAACAGAATCCTTCTAGTAAGGATCCCCAAGAAGGTATGCCTACTGTACGAAAAGCCTCCCGTACTCCCTAATCTTGAGTCCGAACCCTAAACCCCAAGCTCTACGGCCCAAGCCTGAAGCTTTAGGCGCTAAACCCTGAAGCCCGAAGCCCTAAAAAGCCCACGAGGTCTTCTGAATGTGGGGCTGCTCCTCAGAGCGAACCGGGATCAGGAAGCCCGAGGCGTCTTGGGGTTCAGCGGCTTTTCGATTCCTACGGGGGGTATTGGGGTTTAGGGTTGAGGGTTTAGGGTATTTATGGGGTTGCATGCAGGTTTTCTAGGCTTGTGTTTATCGTGCTTCATATTGGGCTTCATCAAGGTTTCTCAGAGCTTTACAAGGGTTAGAACTGTTCTTTCTTCGTAGCTTTGTTGTAGTGAGCAGGTTTTGGGGTTGCCTGTCTTTGGAGCTTGTGGAATTCTGCATGCTGATCCCGAAGGCCAGGCCCCAGACCCGGACAATGCACTTTGTTTAGGGATCGATAATAATCGTAATCGCGAGAATAGCAAGGGCAATACCAAGAACGGTAAAGAGGCAGTTCGTTCATGAAAGTGGTCCCCAGAAAAAGAAAGACGTCGTATGATCAGCAACTCTAGCAATGACTTCCCGCACCCGGAGTTCGAAATCCGGAGCCACGAAGTAGGCCCCAAACTCCAGACCTACAGCCCCAACCCTTAGCCCTAAACCCCAAACCCGAGATGCAGAAAATCCCAATGCTTCAGGTGGCTCTGCGAGAGTGGCATGGATCGGCGCGAGCCCATGGAGCATGATATGGGGGTGTGGGGCGCATGTCTCGGCTGTAGAGTTTGGCTTGAGGGCTTCCTGGGTTTCTGGTGTGTGGCTTCGGAGTTGGGTTTTCGCTTGGCGGGTTAGGTTTGGGTTCAGGCACAGGCCAGTGCAGGTGACAGAGTTTTTGCAATCTTTCTTTTTCTGTTTCAGGCTGTCTCCGACGCTGAGCAGCCAGGGTTCGGAGAACTTCGCGTTTGTTTGTATGTTGCGGTCTCCGTATTAGTACTGAACGGAAAGCAGAAGTGTGCCCTGACTGATTTTGAAAGGCTTACTGGGGAAGCAGAGGCCTTGATCCTAAACCCTGGAAGCCCACGCCACCTCAACCCTAGATCCGAAACCCCGAACCCTACAGTAAGCCCCCTGAACCCCCCTAAACGTAAACCCTGAATGAGGCCCAAGCTCTCAACCTGGAGCCCCCAACATGCCAAGCCCTAGAACTTGCGCCACAGCATCGGGCCCTGTTCTTCCGAGGGGCTCATTATCGAAAGACTAAACCCTATCTACAGAACGGCCTCTATACCACTCTGAACACGAGCGGCCCCAGGCTCTAAAACTTGCAAACCTTACACCCAAAACCTTAATACAGGGTAACAGCTAGAATAGGGTTTGGGGGCAAATTCTACTATAACTATAGCAAGGAACTCTCCCAAAACCCTGTTCTAATTCTGAAGGCCCCGAAGAAAAATCTGCTTGGAAATCCTTTGAGCCCTCCGAAACCGTGTACCCTAAGCCCTAGACCCAACCCGAGGGACGACCTGAACAGGTGCAGCCGGAAGCCAAACCGCCACTCTAGAATGCTAAACAGAATTAAACAAGAAGTATTGTTGTGCCGTGAGTAGTAACCCAAATCCCCATTCTATTTGTTGAGGCCCCTGTGTTATCTCAGTTTGGTTCAACTGGAGCTATCATCAAGCTGGCATCTCGAATGATGAGAGGGTGTAGGACGCTTAGTTTTAGGTGATTTGGTATGGGGCTTGCATGTTTCGGGTTTTGGGTTCAGATGCTTGCGCCTGCAAGGCGTTGATCTGCGCCTCCAGGGTATCCACAAGTGCTGATGCCGTCCAGTGTTTTTTTTCTTCTGACGCAGGCGGTGAGTCCCAAGCCCTAAGTGTTTGATACCAGACCCTTGCGTCCTGAATCCGGGGAGTCTTCATCGGCCACAGAGAGACTGAAGGGAGGTGAGTTTTTGGGCGCTTGTGTTTTTTCTTTCTCACGCCTGCATACCTATAACATGTCACTAGGACGCCTCACATGGCGTGGAGTCGGCAGTCGGAGTACAAGGCTTCAGATTCCAGGACATGGTGTCTGTGGAGCAACCAGTACTAGTAAGAAGCTAGTTCCGGCATGCTTCTGCTTGGAGTATCTTCCGCCCTGATGTGCCCTTCTCGGCGAATCCTACTCAGGTTGGTTTGAACAACGCTAGGTACTTGTTGTGATGCTCGCAGAAGCAATTCAAGCAACATTCAAAATGACTCCCATATCCTGAGTGGTGCTCATGCTCGTGATTTTCATACGGTCAGTAGCCTAAGTACGATCTGTAGATGTAGATGACCAACACTGTGTCTTCCGGTTCCTGATTCAATACAAGTGTACTGTAATGAAATGATCAGTACAAATGGTGTATTCTACAGGCCACTATACTAGAGTGGTCGCAGGCGATTTCTCGACAGACTCAGAACCAACCCAGCCGACACGGACCATTCCAAGGACACGGACGACACTTGCATAACCCTACTGAGCCCTTTGCAGTCTTATTGAGCCTTTACTCATGGTCATGATTTTGACAGGTGCCGTTGGTGTAAGTAGGGCGATTAACCTTACACCAACAATCTTGTCCACGGTCACCGTCACCGTACCAGTAGGATTCTTCAGCTGCTTTGCCGACTCCATCAGGGGAGGGGAGGCTACAGTGACAGGAGTGGTGGGGAGCAAGTGGGAGTTTCAGAGAACCATGGGTACCTTACTTAGGTGTCCGTATTCGTATGATCAGGATCACTCTAGTCAAGGTCCAAATGAGGGTTCCTCATGTTCTGAAACTCCCAAGTGACATGGAGGTCACTGCTTGAAAAGAGACCCTTCGGCTCGGCGGTTGCACAGTTTCGACTACAGGGTTTCAACTGTATTCCTAGTGGTCGAGTAGGTAACCCTTAACCTTTTTCGGGTAGTATAGTCCCTACAATATAACGTTTATTTAACCCAAAAAGGTTTTTTTACGTTCATAGATCTCTCAGTCGAATGTCCTCCTCAACCCGAAACCTCAAACATGGACCATATATGCCGCAAGCCCGAAATCCTAAGCCGTACAGGACCCTGAAGCCTTAACCCTTCAGCCCTAAACCGTACCGTATGAAGCCGGTAACCCTTCAACCCGTAGCAAGAGTTAAGGACTACTCTGGTCTCCCTGCACGGCAGAAATCGTCAGCGGTTCACGGGCTAGTGCCCAACTTAGAGAGATTCCCGAAGCCATTTATTTGCCCAGTGTACCCCAAATATACCCGGAAGTGCTGATCACCTTATGATAGTAGCACGGTGGAAGATTTCTTTATGGAAGGGAACCCCAACATAAGCCGACAAAGCAGCATAATCCTACTCTGGAGCACCACCCGCAAACACTCCTCATCTCTAGAACCAATACAATATATATATATATATATATATATATATATATATTAGCAAGACTAGTGTAAAACGGATGAGACAGTGATGAGGATATCAAGAGCCCCAAAGGTAACAGTCGTACGCTTCTCGGAGGCTTGAGGCAGCTGCAGATCGACAATGGGCATTCTTGCACCGTTTGGTGTTTTGCTCACATGTTTGCAGGACGCCGCAGGGAGCTGGTGGCATGCAACATGAACCTAGATGACATGTCGCCAGCGGCCACAGCAGAGGGGAACATGGCAGGTTGTATTCAATTCTCAAAACATCCCACTAAGTCGTCGCAGCCCGGATGCTATTTGCATCTTTAGCCGCTGATTCGTGGTTGAGTAGGAAGGTTCGTCATCATCCAGATTAGTGGCTAGTGTCCATTGAATTTCCGAGTCCTGCTTCGCATACCTCACTTGGGAGAGCCTCATGCTGAGAAAGCAGCACTGGGAGCAGGGAGCATTGACACCGGCTTAACTCACCTTAGGTTTGTAACGAGGCCATGAACATGGAGATGGTCATAAGCTCTCAGCCAGTGAGGATGTCCGTAGCTGCAGAAGGCGAAAAGCATACGTTGACCGTGCATGAGACGGCCTTGAAGCAAATACCATATTTCAAGGAATCTTCGTGGTGTGCTGGAAAAAAGGAATTGGACATTACGCTTCCGGCTGGTACTGGGATCGAAGCAATGCAGTACCTGCTCACTCGATGCTATGGACTCCAATTGTCCAAGCCATCGGCCAGGCTAGCATGCCAGATGTTCTTGCTGTCGGAGTTTTTTCTGATGCATGAAGACCGAGCTGCGATTCTGGATCTCCTGAAGAGTACTCTCGTATCCCAAAAGGCCCTTGAAGAGGCCCGCGAGTGCTTCAGGGAGAAAGAGGTGCCTCAAGAATTGCAGCACTTTCTGAGCAAAGTTGCGACTTCTGTGGAGTCCTTGGTAGTGGATGTTGCGCAGTGGGGCGAGGCATCGGTGAAAGCAATGCTTCAGACTTGCCTTGCCAGCATATCAACAACTCCTGAGAACCTTGATCCTGCCAAGCCGGAAGAACCTTCGTCTGCTTCGAGTCTGTACTATCGGATTAATGGTTACCAAAAGCTTTGGGAAGGTTTGTCTCCCGAGGAAAAGAAGAAGTGGGAATCTCAAGCGGAGGGACTGCAGAAACGCTTCCCGGAGCTTGAGAAGTCTTGGAAAAAGCGGCGGCAGATTGAGGAAAAGCATTTCGAGAAAGTGCGGGAAATCTTTGATCGCCGAATTTCTCGAGGCCTGGTAAAGGCCGATATTTCCACCTTGATGAGCATGCTGGTCGGTTGCCCGACTACCAGAGTCCGAGCCTACTTCACACGGGATGAAAGAGTGCAGACGGGCAAAGCTGCCTCCTCTCCTGACGAGGAATACAAGTGGAAGTTTCTAAAGTTTTCGCTGCAAAGAGGCTTCGAGTCCTTGAGTGCTGTGGCGTTTGCTATGATTGCTGCTCACCCGGACTTCTGGGCCGTCTTCCTCTTGGATTTGGTCGCAGGTCTTCCAGTCGAGGTTGAGGCACAAAGTCGCAAGAATGCTGATGGGAATTTCACATTCACTACTGTTGCTAGGTTATGGAGGAGTATACTTCCTTTGTCTCGTCGGGTTCGCAGTTCCTGAGAGGAACCATTCTGGAATGAAAGGTTACACTTTTTGAGTTACTTCAAAGCCTCGAAGCCCAGGTTGGTGTTGAGCTGGCAGAGGGCTTCTGGAAGCGCTTGGCAAAGGTGTTGGAAGCTGTTCTTGACCTTGGGATACGCTTGTTGAAGGAGAGCAAGCTGCAGCCTGTTCAGCTGATTACCGGTCTTGCAATGCTTATGTTCAATATCTTCTCGGTGGACGACTACGAGCCTGTGCCCTCTTGGTTGCGATCTGCATTCGGGAGGGTGGCTGCTGCCCTGGACCCTGCTGCGAGGGCCCTCCTTGTTGACACCCTGGTGCTTTCGCGGCTTCCTCAGACTGTCGAGACATGCTGGGAGCAAACGATTCGGAGCAGCATCCATCCGCCCTCGGAGTTGTTTCGCTTGCGTAAATTGCTCAACTCCAGACCAGCAGCAGACCGGTCAAGCATAGTAGATGAGCTGACGCGAGAAGTCGAAGTGTTTGCGTTTTTCGAGGATGCAGGCAAACAGCAAATCTGCCACTTCCTGATGCAAGGGCACGGTGACTGTCACTCGTTTCTGTATTGGCTTCGTGGCAGCAAGCTACGAGCGATGGGGTTGGAACTGCAAATTTCATGTATCAATTGGCTCGGAGCCCATGTCCTTGATCTAGTCGACATTGACCTACTGGACATGATTGATGAGTGGCTTGAGGCATTCAGTGACTCCCCCAAGCTGCTGCAGTCGCTAGCTGTGCTCTTGATGCCCATCTTCCCCCACTTCGACGAAGAGACTCATGACCGCCTTATGGAGCTGGCAAATCCAACCAGCGCTGACTTGGGCCAAGCTGTTGCCTCGATCCAGGAAGTGCAACAGCCTGCCGCTGACTCCACTGAGCCCACTCAGGAGCCGGAGCAGAAGCGATCCCGGATTGCGTGACGAGCTTACCGTTGAGAAAACAGGTACTTGTATACCCCGAAAAGAGCAGTCTTCTAAAGATTGAGGTCTTCCTCACAGAGCAAGTTGTCACTGTCTTTCATCTGTGGACCCCGCACCGGGGATCCTTCGACCCACACCAGATCAGCGCTGGGTCGTTCAATCTGGAGAGCGTCTGAGTTAAATTGTCCAATTTTCAAGGCGGGCATGGTTTCGGGCTCGGGTTGAGGGCCAGTTCAGGAAGGGGGTCGTTTTCAGCGACCAGAGTGACAGCATTGAGAGAGTACGATCCTTTCATGATTGCCGCTCTCGTCATCGCAGTCTTCCAGAGCTTCTGGTTTCGCCTGTCGGCGCTACACACTTTGCTTGCGGTTCGCCCGACTGTGCTTGTACATCTGGCTCCTGATCAGTCTTATAATGGACCAGGGCTTAAAGGGCACTCAGGGCATATCGGCCTGGCCTGAAGCAAACCTTGAAGCTTACACGCTAGTGCAGGAGAGTACCTACGCCCTTATCCCGAAGCATCCTTAATCCCCATACTGTGTAGGAACATTTTGTGCTGAAGTTAACACAATGAAGTTTATGTCGAAGTAGCAGAGAAAAGGTTAGAGACCATGTGTAAGGAGAGTCCCTCACTTGTATTGCCAAGTACCAGTTGCGATTCGGCAAGCATCGGCTGTGATGATGCTCCATCATGCAGAGGACAAGGGCAAGGGGATATTTCGACGAGGAGTCGAGTTGTAAAGCAAGGAGTGGGGATTGGCAACAAAAACAAAAGGGAGGACAAGAAGAAGAGTAGCCGCCTGCCGCTCTCAGAGGCAGAGCAGCAGAAGCAACAGCAGCTTGTGGTCCCTGAGCCTTTTGCAATTGCAAGTAACCCTGAATACTACAGCCTGGGCCCTGTGAACGGTTTGGGTGCTTTTGGGCTTCAAACTTAAACCTCAGCCTCAGACCCAGAAAGGGACAGCCCAACCCTACACCCAACATCCAAAATTCTGGAGCTTCTGAGCCCCTTCAAAGCCAAGTTGGGAGGAAGATGGCGGCGTGCCAGTGCCAAGCACACCACCACGAAAGGCCATACTGTCCTCAGCCTGCGGGGACTTGGAGACATGTGGGTGGTTGTCAAGATTAGGGTCCCGTTTTGGGTCCTTAATATAGTACGGCACCTAATATTTAGGGTAATCAAAAAGGGACCTTAATTTGGACAGCCACCCATGTATCTAGCATCTGGATGTACGTCTCGCACAACATGTCCGCCCATTTGCATTTGCATACATCTCTTCATGTTTGGCTGTGGAGCCTGGCCTTTTGCGCACAGTTTCCCTGACCCCCGAACCTAACTCTTACCCGAGCCGGAGTACACTCTAACCTTGAACCCTAAGCCCTAAACCCTAAACCCTTAAACAAAACCCTAAACTCGAAACCCCCAGACCTGAACTCAAGACTCCGAGCCGCATTCAGGGCCGCTGCGCGAAGCTCCTGATGGCGACACCGCCCCCTCTGAAGCGTGAGAAGGCGGCTGGGAGTTCCACATCCTCCGTTTCGAGTCTTGGGTGTGAGGGGGCAAAAGGTGGTCCTCCGGATGATGCGAAGGATAAGTTTCGAATCCTACATCCAACACCCCAAAGCACCCTCAACACCAAAGCCGAAGACTCTGGAAGCCCTAAACCCCAAACCCTAAAACCCTACTGGTAAAGCCCTAAACCTTAACCCCCAAAATCCCCAAGCCCGGTTGGGGGAGCAAAACTTTTCCAGCAAAGTCGGGAGGCAGGTGACGACGTGCCGGTGCCAAGCACCCCAGTGCGAAAGGCCGTTCTGCTCTGAGCTTGCCGGTTCTTGGGTGTATTTAGGGTTTAGGGATTGGGGGTTTTTAGGGTTTTCAGGGTTGAGGGCTTCAGGGTTTAGGGTTTTGGGGTTTTCAGGGTTTTCAGGGTTGAGGGGTTGAGGGGTTCAGGGTTTAGGGTTTTGGGGTTTACGGATTTAGGATTCAGGGAGGAGGTTGGGGCCTGCGTGGAGGTACCCAACAATGCCATCGTTTACGACTTGGGATTGCCATTCCCGGCACCTTGAATTCCTAACGAGGGTCACTACAAAGGTTTGTCCAAAGGTTGATACAAGTTTAAAGACTAGCAGCCACATCCAAAACCCCAAAATCTTAAGCCCCTGAACTCTGAACTCCCCATCTCAAAGCCTAGCCCTTGAACATTGCACCTTAAAAAAAACCCTGCACCTAAACCCTGAAACGAACACAATAAACCCTAAAGCCTTAATCACAGCCTCCGAGCCGTACCCAGATCCGCGCCCCGGAGCTTTTGCTGGCGACGCCGGCAAAATCGAAGAGGGAACAGGCTGGGGTACACGGGCTTTCGGGTTTTCAGATCTAGGGTGTAAAGTTGAGATTAGTAGAGTGTTTATCTGGGTCTAGTTTTTAGGTTCAGGGCCAGGATCTAGGGTTGAGGCATGTTGAGGTTTTAGGGTTTCGGAGACTTATGCATTGCGCAGTTCTTGTCTTGGGGTCTGAATCTAGTGTGCTCTCTGGAAGATGTGAAGAAAGCATTGATCTTGCACAATAGAGAGCACAAGGAGCAAACTTTGCAGGGAGGACAGCAGTTGCAATGTCAGAGCGATAGGTAGTCGTAAATTCCAGCAGGCCCATGTAACCTTAAACGGGATCATGGGATGGCACGACGAACACGACCGACAGTAGTAGATGGAGGAACGACCGAACTGTACCGAACTTAGAGGGGGCCCATGGGCAACCTCATGTCGATACTAGCAATTGAGGATCAGAGGGCACTAGCGACAGCACAGACACAGAGAGCGCCGTTGCTGCAAGGAGGGCACCGTAAACATCCGTAAACAGGAGTGCCAGCAGCATTCCTTGGAGGAGGGCTAGGCTCTGGTTCATGCTGCCAAACCCGAAGGTGCAGAGGATGTATACAGGCAGGGCTGCGCTTCTATGTGAATGTAAAGAGCGAGGAATTCACTTTCAGGCAATTTGCTTTGATATCTATTCGGATACTTTGCGCAGCACTTTCACACATGCCAACACAAGCTAGGATCCGCCAAACAGATTTGCACCTTTTGATCGCATGCCTGGGTGTGGTAGTTTAGTACTTCTCAATCTCGTGAGCGTACCATCACGAATCGGTACCGTTGATGATGTAAATTTTGCATTACCTTAAGGACTCTAAACTATGGGAATATCTCGCATTTCTCGCATTTGGGGCACAGGCTCCTGTTAGGCTGCAGCCCTTTGGCTTGCATTAATTAAAATAGACCGGTGCGGATCCCCAGTTTGCGCTCGCAGACTACTCAGCAGTGCGCGGTGCAGTAATCTGGGCGATCGCACAGTGAGGTGTGCAAGATGCTGTGCATGAAACCGGTAGCACAGAGCTCAAAAACCGTAGCACTAGCAACACTACACACCCAAAATCAAAAGGATGCCGCACCATGACGTGCGCATAAGCTGCACAAGAAGTCGAAATGAAGCTTCAACGTGCAATGCGAAGCAGGCCAACAACTGCGCAGGATATTCCTCATGGGTATCAATGAGGCAATCCCTGCACAACACAACTATGTAACGACATACCCGAGATGCCGGAACACCTTCTTTGGAGGTGATATATTGACATCATAACAGAAACGCTAAAAGCTTGAGCCTTGTTCCCCATGGGGCAGAGAGGCAAACTGCAAGCTTCAGGCCCCGCATGGCGTATTCAAACGGCCATGCCCGCATGTTCATAGAAGTGCCTTCACACTCGATATGAAGTGCACTGACTGTGAGCCGTACTCAAGAAAAGCATAGTGGCAATGTACGCGACTTCCGCTATGCAAAACACTGTCTGGCTCCTGCTCGAAGGCTGAGTTTCACAAACTTTCTCCCAACAGATGCCAACCAGCATGCAGAAGCCGGCAATGGTTGTCCCCAGGCCAGCTCCCACACTGACTAAATCAGCATCCGCAGCGACCACGCTCAGAGAACATGCTACATCCTCGCCGTTATGGCCGATGCCAGCACAGCCCTCACAAGTTCCGCCCCTCTTCTGGACGGAGTCTGCCTGCTTGACGAACCCGTTGACGCAAAACACGTCTAAGACGCAGAGAACAGAAGCATTGAAGATGAGACTTCTGCTGAAAGCAATCTCCGGGGTTGTATGTTTGATGAAGAGTCCATGTAAGTAGACATCACCAGCTTGTAAGCACCAGCAGGCCGTCACAGCGCCGAGCGCCCCAAAGTACTCGTTGAGGAAGCTGCCAACGCAAGGCTTCTCATTCCCAGTAGGCCCTGCCTTATCTTGGGACTGCGCCTTGACACTGTCGAACGTACCACTGGCCTCAACGTCCAAGGTGGGCGTCAGGATCTTGACAAAGATCTGCATGCCGCCTCGCATGTGCGGCGCCAAGTGAAGGGTCGATTCCTTCTGCAGGTTGTAATCCGAAAGAGTACGGCCGCACTCAAACTGCCTGCCAGCAAAGATCAGGTGCTGCTGGTCGGGCGGGATGCCTGCCTTAATTTGGGACTTCGCATTGACTTTGTCGAACGTGCCACTGGCCTCAACGTCCAACGTAATCGTCTTGCCTGTCAGGGTCTTGTCAAAGATCTGCATGCCGCCTCGCAAGCGCGGCACCAGGCGAAGGCGTGCCTTTCATGGCACTGGGGCTACCGATAGCTCCGCGCTGCTGCGGCCATTCGAGCCCTTATGGGAATATTGGTATATTCCTTATTCTGGGTAATGCAGGAGTTATATCATGAACAGTGGGACTGCGCCCCTTCGTCCTCTAAGACGCGCGACCTGCCGGTCACGCCACCTTCACTGAAGAGGGTGAGACAGACTCACCTGGCGGATGAGGCGCATGTAGTGTTAATGTGGTTTTGTAGCGTTCTCGAAATGCCTGTGCCTCCGGGGCCTTGATCGGGTTGGGACAATTGCAGATGGCTGGTGCTGGACAGGATTGTCAGCTGAATCGGCATACTGACGATAGTCATGGTGATGATGTCC